CGTAACGTTAAAATAATAACATAAGTTTTCAAAGAAACGCTTGAATACCCGGGAAAATGTGGCAGAGTGTCAATGTAGTTCTTTAGACACAGAGTGGCAGTGCATGAGACATCTTGTGCGAGAGGTTCCCTGAAGAAGAAATAGTTTGAGAATCGGCTTGTTACCACCGTAGTTCATAGAAATTTAGCGTGAAGTGACGGAAAATAAAAACGCCTTCAACGAATTGAATAGGCAAACCGAGCTCCCAGGAGGTCGAATAGTGGTATCAAGCCCCATGGCACATAACTTAAGATTTTGATTTATAAACTGAACCGTGTAGTTTTTTGTTGCCGTGCTAAGGAAAGACACCATCTGAGCCTGTAAGCGTTGTAATTTTTTCGAAAAAGATGCATTTACTTGAAAAATTGTTAAAATTTTTCATCGTATTTTCCTGAAAATCATGCTCGCAATTTAATCTTAAACATCTGAAAAGTCTCAGAGAACGTATTTGTAACTTTCCTAAAAAATGAACTTATCGGAGGAAATTCGGCAGTTCTTGAATGTTCTTTCGGTGTTTTTCCTTAGCACGGCAGCTTTGAAGATTTTTTTGGAGTTACAAAATTAATTAACTTTGATTGATCGATTTGAATATCTTCCTTTAAGTTATATCTACGTGAAATTAGTGACTAAAATCTGGGACGTTTAAAAAATAACAAAAGTTATCAAAGAAACACGTAAATTCTCAAAGCTAAGCGGCATCGCACAAGACATCGTATGCGAGAAGGTCACTGAAGATGAAACAGTTTGAGAATAGCTTGTTACCGCTGCAGTTCATACGAATCTAGCATGAAGCGACGGAAAATAAAAGCGCCTTCAATGAATTGAATAGGCACACCGAGCTCCCAGGAGGTCGAATAGTGGTATCACGCCCTACAGCACATATCTCCTCGAAAGGTGCAATTGCCCATCGCGCCTACGATTTGACTCGAGAGCCTTGTACCAAGGGCGTAGCACTTTTTTATTATTATTTATTTTTCATTTTGTCATCTTTAACGTCTCGCATAGCACGTGTGAAGCAAGCAACCTGAGACCCCTCTAACCGTTCAGCTTAATCAACTCCCCCACACATAAGCTTCCCTCACCACGAAAAAGGCGCAATTTTCTTTAAAGTCAATTCCCGGAAAAAGATCCAATTTTTCCGTTCGTTGCGTCACGTAATATTCGACTCTCGCAAAGGCATCGCGGCGCAAAGCCCCTTCCTTTTTGAACGTGTTACTCGATTCGGACAGCCCCTTATTTTTCGGAGGCGCTTTTGCCGTTTTTAGCTTTATTGTCCAGGCACTCATCCAGACCAAAAGTCTTTCTTTTTTTACATATTTTTCATAGAATGAATCGAATCTTGAATATATATTCATGCAAAGTTTAGATGTGTAAGTCTCGGATAAGGCTAACTAATGGAACAAAGGTAAACATTTCGACGAAGAGCAAGACCGACCACGTATCTCCGTTGCCATGTTTCAAAATGTTTGCCGTGATTTCAGCTTTTTGGAGCAAAATGTGCATATTTCATACAGAATATTGATTGTTAAAGTGCGAAACCATGTATCTCCATTCCGGGGTCAAAATGTCCGCTTCTATTTGATTTTTTCAAGGAAAAACAAGTCAACTTTATAGCTTGAAATTTGTACAGGACATTCTGCTAATGGAGAAGAAGCATCAGGGAAGTTTTCGAAGAATAACGTTAACCAGTTTTTCAAGGAATCCATGAAAAATGACGGGAAGTCTGCAACGTCGAAAATAATATACATGATTTTGCACTCTGGCAATGAATATTCTGTTATCAGAGATGAAAAATCGGAGAAATTTTTAACTTATCACGTTCAGTAGTTTCCTTATGAAAGATAAGGTATGACAGGAAGTCTTCAGCGTCGCAAATAGAGATACGAGGTTTTGCACCTGGACCATCGATATTCATTTGCGACTTTAGGAAGTTTTTTTTAAAATTTATTTTAGTCTTTTTGTGTACAACGTTTTTACAATATTTGTTGTTGCAAAACGCACTTTCCTATAACTTTATTGGGACTACGAACACAACTTCAAACGAGGATGAGTATAATTTTTTGAAACCGATTAGCCGATCCTTACTCTTTTTCTTTTCAACTTCAAAATGAATTTACCCTCGAAGTTGGAAAGAATAGAAATAAGGATTGATTGATCGGTTTTCAAAAAAAATGTATTTTTCCTCGTTTAAAGTTGTGCTCCTACAATAGTTTCGGCATAATTTTCTACGTTCCCAGCTTTCATTTTGATATTATGGGTTAATTTTACGCACTTCAGGAAGTTAATTTCACAATTTGCACACAAAGTTTGTTTTGGTTAAATTCAGTAAATGTCACTGTATGATGAGTTGAATAAAGTGTTATCATTGAAAAAAAAGTGAAGGATCATATGGGACCAGGTTTACACAACCGAATTATTCGGTCTGTTCAACCGAATTGTTCGGTTTGTGCGACCGAACCATAATAAACTCTTACAGTTCGGTTCAGTGGACCGAACAGTTCGGCTGAGCAGACCGAATAATTCGGTCATGTGTACCGAACAAAATCGTGGTTCCATATGATCCTCACTAGTTTGGATTTACCGAACTTTTTTTTTCAGTGAGGTTTTCACTTTTATTCTATTTAATGATTTTGGAGCTGGAGCTTTTCGGCTTCCGGATTTTTCCAGTAAATTTGGCTACACGCTGCATCCCCCGTTGCAGGGTGCGTCCCTGGCTGAGCACTGGGGCCGGCCAATTATCCCTTTCGCTGCGACGTTTCCAACGCGAGCTTTTCTCCTTCAGCTCCGTCGCGACGTCGCGTCGTCGGTGCGTCAGGATGTCTGAAGCTGCCACCAGAGCGCGCCGCCCTCGTTACGTTTGTCGCGTATCTCGACAGCTTTTGATCAAAGCTTTTTAATCTCTTCATCCTAGGGCCCGGGCACTTTGCAGGGTCCGCGGACATGTTGCTCTCATCCCTAATCCGATTTTATTTCATCTCGTGATTAGCTCCGGCTTACATCACAACCTTTCTCCACCATTTACATCTCTTTTCCGCCCGGCTTAGACACACAGCCCGGGCCCCGCTTGATTATTTTTCTGTCCCGTTAACTTCTCGCCGTCTTCCGTAATGATTTATCCGCTGAAACGCGGGGAGCGTACCGCCGTGCTAAGGAAGAACGCCGTATGAACATTTGAGATTTGCCAAATTTCCCTTGATATAATAGGTATTTCTGACAACATTCATGCACATTTTTATTTGAAATTTTCGGATATTTTAGATTAAATTGCGTACAAAATTGAATGAAAATTTTGGAAAAAAATATTCACAATTCTCTCAGTAAATTCACGTTTTATCAAAGGAAATTTGGCAACGTCTGAAGGTTCATACGGCGTTTTTTCCTAGCACGGCAGCGTGTTCTTCAGGATAGCGATGCCGTAGCTGCGGATTTGGCGGATAAGATTCATCATATCGATGGCCAAAGTGCAAAACCACGTATCTTACGTTGTTTTTTTCTCTTAAATTTGTAAGTTTTATTTCATAAAATACAATGCGATTTTACAAAAATCCATGGGATATCTGTTATGAAATTCATCCCATTGTACACCATTTATTTAATAATTGTTCTAATCTCCGTTGCAGTGTTTCAAAACTTCCGTTTCTATTTCATCCTTTCGAAGAGATACAAGTCAACTTAATGGCTTAAAATCCATACAGAATTTTTTGAAGATAGAAAAGAAAAATCAAGGAAGTTTTTAAGAAATTACAGCAAAAAGTTTTCTAAAGAAAAAATGAAGTATGCCGGGAAGCCTCCAGCGTCGAAAACGGAGATACGTGGTTTTGCACTTAAGCCATCCATGAATGATCGTCCACAGGATAAAGAACTTCGACAGGCTGACTATTGACATTTGTATTTTGGAGGCAGAGAAGGGAAAGAGAAAATTGAGCGATCCTATTGGTTGGAACAGGTGGATTTTATAGACTGAGAGGCACAATGATGGACTAACTATATGACTTTTGTGGGTTGCTGTTACTTAGTCTATGTCATTTACCTCCTTTGTTCATTGCTACAGTTCGCTTCCATGAATAAGATCGCTGCCTTTTCTATTTGCCTTTTTTGTCTATCGCTTTGTCTACTAATTTCAATAAAAATCCTGCATTCCATAAAAATTTGAGATGGAGTCATTGATCCATGTTCGAACACAAAAATTTTATGTCAGAAAATCCCAAAAATATTGAACCAAAACGAGGTTGATAATAGGATCTAATTCATAAACAGTGATATGTACAAATTCATGGCGGAAGAAGACTTTTTTGTCGGCACATTTGAATATTCACATTAATTATTGAGTTCCAAGAGAGCTTCAAATAATTAATGTTAGCTTTCAGGAGGGGAAAATTGTGAACGCTTATAAAATTATTTCGATAAGAATTTTGGTTTGGCTTCTGCACAAAACTCTAGAAGCTAACCCTAACGAACAATTCGGAGCAAAAACGCCTGTTGCTCTCACAATGATATTGTAAATTCCGGGTTCCAGAGTTACGAGTGGTAACGATTGATTTGGATCTTATAAAAATGCTACATTGTTACCGGGACTTAAATCAATTTTACCACAAACGTAACATTGTATCTACAACTGGGAAATTTGGTAGGGCCTGGAATCCAAGATGCATTCTAGTAGCAACGATTTCTTTTCTCCGTGAAAGAACGGAATTACAGCATAACTACTAGCGGTTAGCAATCAATTTCCTCGTAGCTCAATCAATTTCAAGTGAAGTGACGGAATAATTGCTGAACCATCGTCAAAGTTGCCACAGACTTAAGCGAAATACCGTATACAATTCGCGAGCTTCTTCCAGTTTTAGCAAGCATTGAGGAGCCGACAACGGTGGATGTTTGCTTATTCATTGGCTATTTGCGGTGTTAGCGGAATTACAGACGCGGTTAATGCGTGAAAGAGAAATAAGGAGAGAATTGCTTACGTGTGGAGGTCTCGTAATGGTTCCATTTAAATGCCTCATCTTTTCCGCACCCTCCGGTTTTTTCCGCTTGCAGTGTTTCGGAGAGGTCGTGCACACACTCACGAAACTAGGTAATATATTTTTTTCTGAAACAAACCAATGGAATCAATGGATCCTGTTAGAAAAATGAACAGTCGCACATGTATCCAAAATTCGCATTTAAAAATTATTCATCCGAACGGTAGATTCGTTTCAACCTTTCAGTGATCGTCCGTAAATCGTTGTTTCCCGCACGAAGGAACTTAACTCCATTCCAAGTTGGCAAAATTGACTCAAACAATTCAATTTTTTACAAGAATGCCTTCGCAATATTTGTCAAAAATTTTTTGGATTTTTGCATGAGATCGTGAGAAAAATTAGTGAAATTTTCGGTTAAAAATATCGAAGCCTGTCCAGATAATAATGCAATTTGCGAGGAAGAAATTGGCAACATTGAAATGTAGTTCTGTTCCTTTGTCCGGGAGACGACCCAATGATCTAATGATGACCTAATGATTATAGTTTTTTTTTTCTTTATTTCTTTGGTATTCATTTTCATACAGATAACTCCTGACCATGAATACGTCCATATATGAGAATAAGGAATGAGAATATGAAACTGTCTGATTACTGGCTGATTGTTGAAATTGACAGATAAAGGTAAAGACGAAGAAGATAAAATTATTATGGAGGGGTCCTATTGGTAAGGAGGTAGGTAAAAGACCAACTAACGGCAACCTACGAGGGACCCTATATTTAGTCCATCATTTTCTCCCTTAGTCTGCAGGAACCAACCATTTCAACGAATAGGATTGCTCCATACCCCCTATGTCATCTTGTCTATCGCTTTGTCTATCAATTTCAACAATCAGCCTGCGGAGCTGTAAATTTCCCCCCTCAGTCTTGTACTGCCACTCATTAGAGCTCCAAATGTTTGACTCCAAAAGAAAATTTTGAGTTGTTTGGCCTTGTTTTCCCCGCAAAATAGTGTGGACCCAGCACTATTTTCCCACCTATTTACATACAGTTTAGGCCACGTTTCTTACTGTCCTTTTTTTCTTGCATGACAATGAGGTATTGTTGATTTATGCACTCACCTATTTTTTGTGGGATGAGATCTGGATCTTTATCATCCACTATCACTTTAGACTTAGGCCTATGATTCTCGGTTATGTTATTCGAAGAATCGGATAGCGAAGAAGAGTATTTGAGTTTATCCCTGGATTTGTTTCGCAGTTGAGTTCTACACAGAGCGACTAAAATTATAATTAAGACTAATAAAGCCACGGCGAGTACTGTCACCGCGGAACTGAATATAGTTATCCGGTCCAGACCTGAGAAAAAAGCATAAAATGACACGAATCAAAATTCCAGGTTTGATGAAAAAGTAAATCGATTAAGTGTTTTATCACACTGGATTGTCTTAAAGATCTTAGAGCGAAAGTGTAAAATACTGCCGTGCTTAGGAAGAACACCATACGAGCCATCAGGTGTTACCAAATTTCCTTCGACAAATAACGAATTTTCAGGAACATTTCTGACAGTCTCCCTTTCAATAGTTCAGAGGATTTCATTCGTAATTTCAGAAAATTTCTAGGGAAAATATTCATAATTTTCCTCAATTATAAATCTTTTCTGAGAGAAAACTTGGCAGCATTCGAATGCTCATACGGCATTTTTACTTAGCAAGGCAGAATAGTCCTAACGTTTTCTTTCGTTCATTTTTCACGGTTTTTGGTTTAGAGGAGTTTTTTAACTGTAAAAATGAATTTTCTGAGATTGATTCAACCAAAATAGACCTCTGTATTACACAAGCAAAAACTTTGAGTATGGTAGTTTTAATTCACCTTAAAACGTAGATTTGTCACTCATAAGTTGAGTTGCAATTTCTCTAACCCATTAATCGTCCTATTCTCGAGCACATCAATTTTGTGCCGTAATCCACTTCAGAAGACTCGAATTCGTAGCTACACCTGGATGCAACTATTACTGCTTAGAGGTTGGCTATGTTGCATACCCACAAAATTGAAGGCATTCTGTTTTTCAATATACTTATAACCAATAATGAGTCTTTCATGAACCAGCATCCGAAAGCTGCAGCGTGTGAACGATGTTCTGTGGGAAATTTTATTGTGAAAGTATGTCCGTTTGTGTTTTATTACCCGGCGAATCTCGGAAATCTTTAAAAAAAAGTGCAAAATATGACAGGATTTGTGAATAGGGACCTTATCTTCCAGGAGCGAACCGTCAAAGAGAGCCAAATTTAAGGGAAAAGTTCAAAATTGGCAATTCTGAGTTCTCAACGGGAAACGCTTTGGCAACAAACTACACTATGTACATACATACGAGTCGCTGTTATAGCGCTCTTTGGCGCTTTGCGACACCTAATCGCCACAAAGCTCGGTCTTCCCACAGGTTATCAGGGAGTTGACACTCCCTCATCTCACTTAACACCCCCTGTCGCCAACCTCTCACTGGGCGTCCCCTACGCCTCCTCCCAGGAGGAACCCAATCAAGCATCTTTTTTGGCAGCCTCTCTTCCGTCATCCTATTGACATGACCATACCAAACAAGTTGTTTGGTCATGACGTCGAACACGATGTCATTTTCGACTTCCATTATCTGACGCACTCTATCATTACGGACCCGATCTCTCCTAGAAATTCCTGCCGACCTTCTCCAGAAATCCATCTCCGTTGCTCTTAGCATATCCTGTGTCCGTTTCTTCAGCTGCCAAACTTCACATCCGTATGTTAATATACTTTTTACTACAGCGTTGTATATCCTCCTCTTGTTATCTTTGGAAATCCGCTGATCCCAGAGGATTCCATTTAACATCGCTATAGCCTTCCTTGCTAAGGTGTTCCTTTCCCTGATAGCTTGATCCGTCCTTCCATCCTGGGTCAACCGCACTCCCAAGTACTTGAAGTGCTCGCAGCATTTGATCTGCTGCCCATCCTCCAACTCAATGCTTTGCTGATCACCACCAAAAGTCATCTTCTCAGATTTGGATATGCTGACTTCCAAACCCCACTTCCGATATTCTTCTACTAACTTGCGCATCATGTACTCCGCGTCTTCTTGATCTTGAGCAACCACTACACTATGTCTAAGCTTAATTTTCTCGCCACAGTGGAAGCTAACTGCTCCTTTTCTATGTGCGTGTGAGAATTCTTAATTTAAATTTAATCTTAAAATTGGGCATTTTTGTCTTGGAACTTCAAGACATCATATCTCGTCTTGAAGTTCCCATTATTAAGACTTTTTAATTTCGAATTTTTGGAAAATGAAGTCCCTTTTCACAGATCCTGTCACAGGTAGTCTCAATGCAATTAAGACAAGCAAAACGTAGATGTGCTCTTCCCGAGCCTTTTGGTCGAAACTTGGCTTTCGACTTCCGCCGCTGAAGCTGTGGCGCGAAATTTAAATGTCAACAACTTTGTAGTCTTGACCGCAAACAAATATGACGTTCTGCTTTTGTTGAATAAATTAAGTGCAAGCGAATTCTTTAAGAATGAAAATGCATTTGCTTTAAATGAGGTCTTGTTTGTTCTTTTTTATGAACAGCTACGACCATATTTGTTCACCACCCGCCCGCCGGGAGAGCCGCAGCGTGCTGCCAGCGCGAAACGCGGGGCTACCACACGCATTGCGCAATGCTTGAAGTATCCCTTTAGGTTTGTAGGCGTCAGTGCTCGTTTCGAGCTGACAGCGTGCCATAAACTTGCCCACAATTGCTTTGGTCAGGGTGTTATAATGTAGACTGTTTGACGTCAAATTCGAAATTAGCGACTCAAAAAACATAAGTCACGAATCTTTCGTGATCTTCCAGTCATTAAACGACTTATTTCTTCCTATTTTTGAGTTTTGAACCATAGTGCGCCGCGGCCGGCGGCTCATGAAATTCTGCCTTGCGCTCAATCGCCAATACTGGGAAGTTGTTGAAATTTAAATTTCGTGCCACAGCTCTAGCGGCGGGAGTAAAAAGCCGAATGCTGGTCGAAAAGGTTAGGAAGAGCATACCAGGATTGCCACAGAATTTGGAAAATTAAAGTCCCTGCAATTTCCCTGATTTTCCTGATACATCTAGGTGAAATTCCCTGAAAATTGAACAAATACCAGATTTTTAAAAAAAAACATAGTCAGAAATAGTATTCAGGCAAAATTTGTTGTTCGAAACGTCAAACTCACTCGACAAAGCAAATGAAGGTGATTTGACGACTTTTCCCGGACATTTTCGTCATTTTCCCTGACATTTTCCGGTAATCCCTAACTGTGGCAACCCTGGCACACCGCCGTTTCACTCACCTAGATCCCAATGGACGTTGTGTTTAATTTTTTTTTCTCTTTATTTTTTTTTCTTTTTGTCTTGAGGGTGTACTCACCGGACTCTCTACTTTGTGCGTTGTAGGCGAGGATCTCGAGGACGGTAGGCTCGCTGCGGCCCTTGGCGTTGTAGGAGTAGAGGTTGAGCCGGTAGGAGGCCGCCGGGCTGAAGTCGCTGAAGTGGAAGAGCGGCTTCGAGGAGGTGACGTTCCTGTACCAGACCGAGTTAGACCCGGAGCCGGGACCCACCACAACCGGGAGTTGCACGAACTCCGCCAGATAGCTCTGCGGCAGGCCCCCGTCGAAGTTCTCGATGCACTCCACCGTCACCGAATCCGCCGTACGGTTCGCCATCGTGCAGTTGAACAGCGGGAACGGCCGTCCTGGAATCAAAACAGAGTCGAGTAGAGTAGAAGAGTAGAAATCATCCTTTATCCTTCCCCTTTCGGGTTCATAAAGTTGCAAAGTTACAGACCAAAGTAAAATATACCTATACCAATATAATTTGGTGTTTAAAATTTTAAGTCTTCATAAATTTAAAAATCACACGCTTTGTGATTTGAAAATCTTTCAAGACTCTCCCATAAAAAGACCACACAATACAACCCTACTGGTAACAAAATTAATTTAAGATCTTTTTCAGCATGCATTTTACGGTTGTATTCAATTCGCCTTCAGCTGCGTGCGCAGCAATTGTTGTTACGAATATGTTGTGAGTGCTGATTTCAGCCCATTACATACTCGACTCTTTGAAGGCGTTTCATGTGCGAAACTAGAGCACCCTGTTGGAGAGCAATAGAATCACTCAATCTCCACTTCGTTCGTTCTCCGACAGACTTCGCTACTTGCGCACATAAAACGCCTTCAGAGAGTTGAGTATGTAATGGGCTGAAATCAGCACGCACAACATATTTGTAACAACAATTGCCGAGTGCGCAATTGAAGGCGAATGGCTTTCGCACATAAAACTCCTTCAGAGAGTCAAGTATGTAATGATCTGAAATCAGCACGCACAACATATTCGTAACAACAATTGCTGAAGACGCAGCAAAAGGCGAGTTAGGCGGTAACATAAATGCGGAGCGGAGTTGATTCTCCATCCGCGGAGACACTTGCACTTCTAAGGAGCGAAATCAATTCTTTTTTCGGAGTGTAATACGCCTCCATGGTGCTAATCTCACTTTGCGTTCATATCACTCGGGGTTTTCAGGCGCAATATAGACTCCGGCACCGAAATTCTTTCCTACATTTCTACCAGTGTACACCCTGCTTCAATCCGGCATCGCCGAAGCGAGCACATTCACAGTATCACTAAGCGGTGAAATATGCATTCATTTTCATTCCACCACAGCTCGATTTATCCGGAGCATTCTTTCGCGAGCGAACGGAGAACGAAAGCACCTCGAAAGAGAAACGAATCCATATTCCCGGGAATGTCCCGGAATGTAGAAGTAATGCAAACGAATAGGAAGGACCTCTGCAGAGCCGCACGACTTACGCCCACGCGGCGACGGTGGCGCGGCGCGCGGGGACACCAGGAACCACGAGATAAATATCAAAACAAAAGAGGCGTCCCAACTCTAAGCCCCTGAACCCTGCGTTGGGCAGCGGGCGGAATCTTCGTGGAAAAAATCCAACGTGTCTCAAAAGCACGAGCCCTGATATTAAAGGATTAACATGGTCCTCAGGGCTCAGGGTGAGATATAGACGTTGGGTTTCTAACATGGAGCGATTGAAATACGTTTCAAGATCTCTTTACTCGACTATTAGCGGCGTTATCAATTATTCGCCGGGTCCCGAATCCCAGCTCACCGGAGGAGGGGGGGGGCCTCGGAGAGGGAGGGGGCGGGGGAGATCCTTTCCTCGATGGGTTGATAGACTTAATTATCGGGTCCCTTTGACATCTCGCAGATAAAAACTAATGAAACGGAAATAATTACAACTTAAAGCGACTCATTATCACACCCTAGCCGATGATTTAACCGCCCGGGATTCCGTTAAAAACCCGACTTTTATCGTCCTTTATTTCAGCCCGGTTACACTTGTTCTGCGTCGCTGGCGTCGATAAATCGCTTAGCGGTGGACCCGGAAGCCACTCGCCGCGCCGTTGCCGAGTCGGCCGCAAACCCCACAATTTTACAGCTAAGGAAAAATGCCGTATGAATATTTCGAATCTGAGAATTGCCACATTTCCGCAACAAAATATTTATTTTTCATGATACAAGTTTTTCATCGAAACCTACACATCGACGGCGTAAGTCCGCAATCACATATCTCGGTTGCGGTGTCTGAAAATCTCCGCCTCTATGTTATTTTTATAAAGGTGAACAAATTGACATCATTTTTTGGAGTTCATGTAGAATTTTCTTCGTACAGAGAAGAAAAATCACGGCAGTTTTAAAGAATTGCCGTTGAGTAGTTTTCCGTTTAAAAATTAAAGTATGGTAGGATGTCTGCGATGTCGCAAACCGAGTTATGTGATTGCCGACTTACGCCGTCGATGTATAAAAGAATGGGGGCTAGACTATGTATCAAGATGTGCTGGGCACAGGACGTCTGTATCCAAAACTTCCATTGGGTTGCTTATTGACATTTATAGACAAAGCTAAGGACACAGGAGAAAAAGGGGAAATAAAGGGATCCAATTGGTGAAAGCCTGTAATTACAACAGACAAAGGAGGTATGCTGAAGAATAAAGTACTAAGGGCAACCCACGTCAGACGAAATTGCTTAAAAATCTCAATGTAAATAAGTCTCTATTGCTTGACTCCATCCTAATTGGTATTCTTTTCAGTGGGTTGATTGTTGAAATTGATAGACAAAGCGATAGTCAAAGAAGACATGAGGAGTATGGAGTGATCCTATTGGTTGAAATGAGTGGTCGTATAGACCAAGGGAGAAAATTATGGACTATATCTATAGGGTCTTCCGTAGGTTGCCAATAGTTGTTGGTCCACTACCTACCTCCTTTGTCCATTGCAAGTACCCACTTACACCAAAAAGATCCTTCTATATCCTTTTTGTCTCCTTTAACTATCGCTTTGTCTACCAATTTCAACAATCAGCCCGCTGGAAACAATTCAAAGGGGGAAAAATTCGTGTTTTTTTACAGAAAATTCGCATTATTTTAGCAGAATTGTGGCAACTCCCAAAAGTTCATACAACCTCTCGTTTCTTGTTACCAGGTTCTACTACAACCGTGAATCCATTCCAGTTTTTTCGTCTTTTATTCAAAACGTGTCTCAAAAATCTCGATGTAGATAAGTCTCTATTGCTTGTCTGCATCCAAATTGGTATTCTTTCCAAGAAAAATTTCAAAGGAAAGAAATCATGTTCTCTAGAAAATTCACAATATTTTAGAATAATTTTGGCAACTCCCAAAAGTTCATATACCGTCCCTTTCTTAATACGGGAGTTCTCTCTCCCCGCAATTCTTTCGTGGCGCGATCTGGCGCCTGGGGCTCGGGAAGCGGAAATATATCGGGAATTTATTGCGATTGCGGGGAGAAAAATCCTATCAGTGGATTAACCGATACCCCGGCGACTTCTAGGGGTCGCGTCAAAAATAAGGGTCGGTATCGGTCATTCCGGGAGATGGCCGAAGAATGGTGTCGGAGGTACTGCCAAAAAATGGCAGTTTAGTTTTCCGCTCCATATAACTGAAAGCCCTTCGAACTGATACGAAATTCTCAATAATCGATTCTTTACCATAGCTTGAAACGGGGATGTATCGATAATCGATCATTCATGCCTCGAGAACTGCCCTGTCTTGGCACAGGACTGAGAACTTTTACGGAATGGTTCTGACCGCGGTGGGATCATGGGATGTATTGGGATGTACCCTGCTGTCACGATAACATAAGTAAGATTTACTTCTTGAAAATAGCCTACGATTGGAGCTTCCCTTGAATGCAGGAGGTGCGTGAACATTTTAATAAATGAGACGATTAAGATTACAGGCCGAGGTCACTGTAAAACTTTCCACAAAATTGGTCTCAAAGATGCAATTCAGAATCACAACTTCGATTAACGTTTTTTAAAAGCATTGAATCTCGTTCATTATTTTGAACTGTCCCTAGTAGCAGGGTCTATAACGAATATTTTAAAAAACTTGTGTATTTTAATTTAAAAATTCATGATCAAATTCTTAAAATTTACGAAGAAGGAAATCTTTTTGTGTTTCTTCAGCGTAATGATTACGAAAGGTCGAATTTGAAAGTACAAGAATTGTTAAAAAAAACTTAAAAATCTCTTAAAAACTCTTAAAAATAATACACTGGTAATTTGACATTTTTAACGTAAATTTTAGTTTGAAAAATCACGTTTTTTACAGAGTTTTCAACACTTTTTCTACTTAAATTTTGCATCTCGTAAATTTGACTTAAAAAAATCCCAAAAAGGATTTCCTTCTTCGTAAATTTTAGCAGTTTTTCAAAGTTTTTCAAAAACAAATTTTAACATCTTTTGCTAGTAGGGCTTGAGAATATTTTTCAAAATCATTAACATTAGTTACTTTCAGCATTTGCTTCAATTTCATTCAGGAGAAGTAAGAACTGAATGATAATCTTACCTGCTGCGACGACTTGGAAGACACACGGTCTAGTTTGCACCCCCACAGAGTTGGACGCAAGGCAAGTTAACGTGCCGTAGTCCAAGTCACTGACAGGGGTGTAATTCAGCGTGGAGGTAGTGCCCACGTTGTGATAGTACTCGGCGGGCAGCTCACGGGAGTGTCCAGAATGGTTGAAAGTCCACCTGCAAACACAGATTTGAATAATTATCCCGGCCACGCTAGCACGCGAGAAGGGATCACGGAGATGTCCGCTTAGCTCGTGCCGTGACTAGAGCTTCTTCAAAATCCACTCTGCGATAATCGCAAGGAAAAGGAAAAGGGATTCTCAGGACTGAATTCATGGTCGCTCCTTAAGGTGATTCGACGGTTGCCATTTTTTTGTGTCAGAGCAACGTGCGGTATATCGCATCAATTCGTTCCATAATTTCAGCTACTTCTCATTCTTTCCGAATTTTGAGATCGCACTTCTGTTGTCATGTAACTAAAGAATTCATGTACCAAATTCGACAAAGGAATTCAACGTATTAAAGGCAGGGTTTTTTTTAGAGGAAAAATATCTCATTCGATACTGATATCTGCAATCGAATGCGATATTTATCCTCTGAAAATACCACGACTTTATTACGTTGAATTTCTTTGTCAAATTTAGTACACGAGTTCTTTAGTTATGTGACAACAGAAGTGCGATCTCAAAATTCGAAAAAAATGACAAGTATAGCTGAAATTATGGAACGAATTGAAGCGATTTACTGCACGTTGCTCTGACACAAAAAATGACAACCGCCGAATATCCTTAAAAAAGGACTGGCATCTACTAGAGCTCAAAATATTCGATTCCAATTGGACTGCATTTTGCAATTTGGACTTATAAATTATGGCTCATCTGAAAAAACACGTATGTGCATAGGGAAACTAATGGCACATACGTTGTTTTTAAACCGGGCTAGAATTTATAGTTCCAAATTGCAAAATGCAGTCCAATTGAAATTATTGAGATTTTTGGCTTTGTTTGTCCCATAAAATGATGTGGACCCAGCATCATTTTACCACCTTGTTACATACAGTTCGGGCCATTCCTTAGTTTCTTTTCTCGTTCCTTTAAGAAACCATATAGACGGTGAAATTCCCAAACCACGTATCTTGTTTGCAGTGTTTAAAAATCTCCGCTTGCATTTTATTTTTTTGAAGAAGAACGAGTAGGCATATATAAAAAACGGCGTGCATAGAGCTAGGACTCATGAGTTGAAGACGACGAATGGCCACTGGAGCGGCGGCTACGTCACTGGCGCTTTATCATTCTCATTCATTCTTATGGCCCAAGCACTAACGAGCATACCCCATATTACCAACCCGCAAAAAATTCTGTTTGGTAGAAATACGTCCAAATTATCTTCAGATAATGCATGCTGCGTATATGTGCGAAGAGGTGCGACAAAAAATGCTATTGCACTGGAAAAAAAAACCACATTGGATCTGGAGTCCAGACTCTTGAAAACATTGACAAGAAAAAATACTCTTGATTTAATCAGATTTTAGCTTAAATCAAAAGGAAATCCGCTCAAATTAAGAGGCTTGGTTCTTGATTTAAGCAAAAATTTGATTGAATCAAGAGTATTTTTTCTTGTCGATGTTTTTAAGAGTCTGGACTCTAGATCTGATGGGTTTTTTTTCCAGTGTGATATTTACATTTATCTACCGTTTTATACCTTCACATCTCACTTTAAAACTCTCATGCCTCGCTTTTCTTTGTATCCAATTCAAGACGTAGCGTGGCCATGGCATTCAATGCTTTTGCCAAAAACAACTTCAAATTTCCCGCTTCAAATCGAGTTATGAGGACTGAGAGCAGTGGGATCGAAAACAAGTCCCGGCAAACAAGTTGATTCGACGCATGAGTGAAAGAGGCCGGATGAACCCATTGTGGGATGTACAAGCGGCAGTTATTACGGCAGAGATTCAATTATTTAATCTCGAATCAGGGTTTCAGTAATTAAGAGAAACAAGATGCAGAATGCATCATTGCCAAACTCCGATATGATTCAGTTTAGAACGTGTGTGATACTAGGATCGCATTTAGCAAAAAGGAACCAACGTGATTACACTATTGAAAAAATGTTGCTTCTTCATAATTATCCAAAAAAGCTCCCAGAATAGCTAATAGTTTTTTATTCCCACCAAAAAATTTTTGATGTTAAAGAAAAACAATTGTGTAGATTTGAGTACCGTACATATATTGAGTATTTTTAAAAGGAAGGAACAACTTGCACAATTTTGGAAACACTGTAAGCGCGCTGGTTCCTTTTTGCTAAATGCGATACACTTGATTTACACGGCATAATAATGAATGGGGTGTCCCTCAGTTCGCCGTAACACCCATGAAAGCACGTAACTGCATTCCGATGTTGCAAAATTTTTCCGCATAAAATGGATTTTCACCAGGAGAATTTTGAGATATTCTGAAGGAAAATTCATCTGATTTTTCATATGATCTCGTGCAAAAATCGGACACTTTTTGCAGCCGGCCTGGATTAAACCGGTGGCGAAGCGTGGATCATCGAGTATCGTTATTTCCCCATTTGAAGGTATGGTCAAGAATCGATTATTAAGGTGTAAGCGTGTTCGTTGCGAAGATCCTACTTATCGATCCCTCACTGAAAAAAACACATTGTATCTAGAATCCAGACTCTTAAAAACATCGACAGTAAAAAGTACTCTTGATTCAATCAGAATCTAGCTTAAATCAAGAACCAAGCCTCTTAATTTAAGCGGATTTTGTTTTGATTCAAGCAAAAATCCGAAGAGTATTTTTTCTTGTCAATGTTTTTAAGAGTCTGGACTCTAGATCCAATGTGTTTCTTTTCCAGCAGTGCCTCCCGTAGGATTAAATATTAGATCAATTGATACATCGCAAAGCACGCAGCGCCACTGGATTAATCCCGTTCAATTTTTCACGGACGCGTCAAATTCTTAGACGAAATCGCCTAATTCCCGCGGAAGTCCGTCAACGGTGTCAGAGAAAACGGAGCATAGGATTCATTTTTCGCGCGCACGAAGCTTTCACAGGAGAAGCAGCCGCTCTCCCCCTTTCTTGCATCCTCCCCCCCCCCCATGGAGGCGGAGCCTCAGTTGAAATAGTATACGTTAACTGATAAGTTAACAAAGTTTTAATTAGTTGACAACTTGTCAAACAAAACTTACGCTCCACAGTGCAAAGGGCACACTCTCCCCCTCAATTTCCCCGCGCCCCCCGCCCGAATGCACCCCGCCTTTCATTACGCTTGTCTCTGCAGATTTCACGGGGAATCCGATTGCACAAACGTCGGGGGCGGGGGGGGGGGGCGGAGATGGGGGCGCCTTCAACACATATCACCTCGTCTGCCGAATGACAATGAGGCCCGGAACAAGTGAGCATAAATTGGACGGCTTCGAGCGAAAGGGCACTATCTGCGCGGGAACATTGAAACAATCTTCGAGTGGGGCGCTTTCGTGATAGGATAATCGCAGTCGACTCATTCGGCACTGATGATAACGCCTGAATGCAACCGTTCGTGCTCCATAGATGACCGTGATGCATCACAAAGAGATGAAGGAGCACGATTCCGAAATGTTGCTACGACTTTTCGTTCTTAATGCGAATAACTGTGATGCATGGAAAAAACATAAAGGCGCACCATTCTGACGGCTCGATACAACTATTCGTTCTCGATGGATGACCGTGATGCATTACAAAACGATGAAGGAGCACTATAACGACTGCTTGATGCAACTATGCGTGTTCGATGGATGACCGCAATGCATCACAGAGAGATGAAGGAGCACAATTACGACTGCTCGATGCAACTATTTGTGTTCGATGGGTGACCGTGATGCAACACAAAGAGATGAAGGAGCACAATGGAGATGTTGCATGTGTGAAGAATTTGCGATTTGACTATTGGTTCTTTTGTAAGAGTTCGCGAGAAACACGATGGTGCCACTGGTTTTCTCTGAAATACACTCCCAAGCTCAAAAAAAGCTCTCAAGTTGAGGCCAAAATGGATTGTTATCCCACGCTATTCTGAGAGTTCACCTCTACATCAAGACAAACTCTCCATGCAAAGCTAGGGAACATATACATTGGCAGGGTTGCCGTGTTTTCAGTTTTAGAGTCCCCAAATAAAGTGGCAGCACTGTCAATGTATTTGATCCCTATCTTTGCATGGAGAGTTTGTCTTGATGTAGAGGTGGACTCTCAGGATAGCGTGGGATATTCCTTCCATTTTTGCCGCAACTTGAGAGCTTTTTTTGAGCTTGGGAGTTAATTTCAGAGAAAACCAGTGGCCACATCGTGATTCTCGCGAACTTTTACATAAGAATCAACAGTCAAATCGCAAATTCCTCACACATGCAACATCTCCATTACGACTGCTGGATGCAACTATTCGTGTTCGATGAGTGACCTTGATGCATCATAGAGAGATGAAGGAGCACAATTACGACTGCTCGATGCAACAATTGGACTTCATTCTGCAAATCGGAACTATAACTTCCGACCCATCTGTAAAAGTGCTTATCTGGATAGAGAAACTAATGGTACATACGATGGTATTAAACTGAGGCACAATTTATAGTTCCTAATTGCAAAATGTAGTCCAATTTGTGTTCGATGGATGACCGTGATGCATCACAGAGAGATGAGGGAGCACAATTCCGACGGTTCAAAACAACTTTTCGTTCTCGATGGATGACCGAGATGCATGACCAAAAAATAAAGGCGCACATACTGCCGACTCAGTGCAACTAAATGTGCTCAACGGATGGCCGAGGTTTGCAGCAGCCCCATTCGAGATGAGCTATTTGTACACAATCATTAAAAAATCCAGGTAACCCAAATCATTCAAATCTCACGTCATGGATTCAGAGAAGTCAGGAGAAGTCTACAAGAAGAGAGCGGTAGTCTGAAAACGTATTAAGTCCTAGTATCTGTATTCGATAACGTTTAACATGATTTTTGAACTTCATGAGAGGAAAAATTACTTTGATTCAAGCAGAAATATGCTAATATTTACCGCCGAAAAGATTTCCTTGTGAATCAATAAAGAAAAGAATGCTTGTGTAAGAAAGGATTGATGCTTACATAGAGAGAAAAGTCAGTTACAATAAGCAGAAACCCGCTTTCATTCAGCAATTTAATTCTTGATTCAAAACAAAATTTTCTTGATGGCTTACTTAAGAATGTTTCTGCCTGAAGTGAGCCTTTTTTTCTGTAATGATATTCAACAATTTTGCTAAACATTATTAATTACGGATGCTATGACTAACTCTTAATGGATGCCTGTCTTTCTAGATACGTTGAAGCGCCTTCAATTTCGTATGTTACCGTGTAACACCTCTGTTGCGAAATAGTTGCTTGAAGTGTCGTGGCACGCCGCGGCGCGCGGCGCGGCGGACAAGGACGACCAGCGCGACACGCACATTGGCGCCTACAAACCTAACAGGGATACTTCACGCATTGCGCTATGCGTGAAGTATCCCTGTTCGGTTTGTAGGCGCCAGTGCGCATGTCGCGCTGGCATCGCAGTACGCTGGCAGCTCCGCTCTGTGTCAGGCGCTAACATCTAAACTCGTGAAGTCGACGTTTAGAACTCATTATGGACCACTAGACAAGGTACGAATTTCAGCATTTTGATACATGTTTCATAACAAAAACTTCACGTAAAACACGATGCGCACAACAGAAATTACCAAAATTAACTCCTTACGAAGATATTTCATGATTCTTGATGCATGAATTCAAACCATCCGCTCATGAAAACTCAATGCTCAACGTGATTCACATCGCGCGCTAAACTTTATCATGACAGTCTCTGCGATATAAAAATCTGGCAACTTCAATCTTGACGCTTTGGCTCAGCTGTAGCAAATTGCTAATAGTTTGAACAACACGTGTGGGGTATGAACATTACTCGATTGAGAAGCTTGCTGAAACCGTTGTAGTGCGCGATTTGACTCACGTAGAGCTTTGAGTTTCTTGTGAGCGGGCAGTTCAAATTCCTCGTGACCGATGTGAAATAAAAATGTTGATATCTTCGTTAGGAGTTGGTTTCAGTAATTTTCGTTGTGTGAATCGTGTTTTGCGTGAAATTTTGGTTAGGAAACATGTATCAGATTGCCTAAATTCGTACCTTGTCTAGTGATCCATTCTGAAATGTTTGCACTCTCTGCATGGAAATGTGAGTTTCCGAAATCGTTCGATTTCGGGCTACATTCGGCAATGACGATCGTAACTTTACTCTCGTTAGTTTTTCTCCTTCGAGACCGAGGAAACTAAATCACTGAACGCACGACGACGACGACGTACTTTTTAAAAATTTTCATCCGGCCTCGTTTAAGAAAATTTCCCAGCGCCCCCGGGAATATTATGAGCACTTGCAAGTCGGGAAGTTTGTTCGACGTTTCTCCCCGCCCGCGGGATGAGGCTCGCATTATTGCGCTCACAAAAGAAGGACGCAGAAGCTACTAACTGGCTCTTTATTTTGATGTTAACGCGCACACCAGCGTCACAATGAAAAATTCGCCCTTTCATACTCTCCGCGGATGTCATGCTCCGTAGGTGGAATCAAACGTACAAAAGCCCACGCGAGTCGAGCTCCAAAAGTCACAAACGCGGGCATTGTTTCCAACGCGTATCCAAGGCTCCAAACCCTGATATTCTCCTATCACTTGTCGTGAAATCAAGGTTGCCACTTTCTTACCACTTGTAGGTTGCCTGCACTGGAAAAAAACACATTGGATCTAGAGTCGAGACTCTTGAAAACATTGACAAGGAAAAATACTCTTGATTCGATCGGATTTTTGCTTGAATCAAAACGAAATCCGCTCAAATTAAGAGGCTTGGTTCTTGGTTTAAGCTAGATTCTGATTGAATCAAGAGTACTTTTTCTTGTCGATGTTTTTAAGAGTCTGGACTCTAGATACAATGTGTTTTTTTTCCAGTGTGAATTTTTCTCGAGGATTCCTTTTTTTCCAAAAGCTTTTAATTCATGGACGGAGAAAAGAACTTCGTGCGTGGGACCCAAAGTTGAGGTGATATGGTCCCCTGAAGTTTTCGGATCAAGTATCTAAGAACTTGAGGTCCAGCTGCCAAATTTGGGGTCAGACACCTGAAGTACTTCGATATATACCGAAGTGTTCGGGTCACACATCAGAAGTACTCCGGTACATAGCGAAGTGCCTCGATGTCTGACCCGAACTTCGGCAGCTCGACCTCAAGTTTCCAGATGCGTGATCAGAAAACTTCAGAGATCCATTATGACCTCAACTTCGGGTCCCATGCACGAAGGTTTTTTCTCTGTGTGGTATATAGATTTCCATGATATGTAGAGATGGAAAATTTCATGCAACTTCATGAAATGAAAGAACCTCCCGGAAAAGTGGCCCTTTTTCGGGAACCAAGGGGTTGCATTCGTATGTGGGTAGCTTGGATAAAACCTTATGATGAGGCAATAAGCCTCCAGGAAAAATTTTAGCTTGAGTGTGCGTTTGATTTCCGAGATACAGCGTTGCAAAGTCGGCATGTTTGAGTGTAGAAATTGTCGTATTTTTACGGATTTCCCTCCAAAAACGAATTTCCAAGTAAACTTAAGAACACTTACACGAAGCGTCAATGAAAAATTATGATGACATTTCATTTTGCATATCTACTGCTGCTTCACCGAATATCCCTGATTTTTCCAGGAAATTACCGATACAAGACCGATATTTCCCCTCACGCTTCATAAATTCTATGGAAAGATTCTAAATATTATTCAAAATTGTTAAGAAAATATATTCTTATTTTTTTCTTCATTTTCTGTATGTTTCTGTCGGACCACTTCTTATATTTTGGTAGTAACAATGGAAGATGCAATGGATTGAATTTTGCAAAAAGGAACCAAAAGCATTGCAATGATGCTAAGATTTTGCAACTTCATCATTTGAAATAAAGTACAGAAATAATGAAAAAATATGAAATTTAGGTACATAGTGATTTTGCGTCTTAAATTTACAGTATTTAGTGAGTAAAATAGGAAGGTTGACGGATAATCAGGTTTTTCTTCCCAGACAAAAAAAGTTGGAAAATTTTAGCAAAATTGCAATGCTCCTGTTTCCTTCTTGCAAAATGCAATCCAATTTAAATTAATCAGGGGGGGGGGGTCTCGCTGAGCTGCTCATGTGCTCGCTGAGCTGCTGGATGTTTTACATCCTTCATGTGCATAAACGGCTAATATGCTGGATTAAAATTTCCCGATTTTCAATCAATTTTCCCCTCCACAGCGAGAGACGTTAATTGCTCGTCATGGCAACGCTGGATGTAGCGTACGTGTGCCATTTTACCTCCAAGCACGTCAGTCAGATTTAAGTCAGAGGGATGAAAAGGAGAAAAATGGGGATAGGAAGGCAGGTAACGGGAGAGGGAAGAGGGGGAAAGTAAGAGAGAAAGAAAAAAAAATTACTGAAAAATAGTTTTAATGGACTTTTTCTTGACACGTTTTGTGGATAAAAATCTTGAGGCTAAGGAGCAAATAAAGTGCAAAGGAGTGGGTTCGAGAGGTGAATATCGGGAAACCGGAGGAGGGGGGGGGCGAAGCGGGGACAGAAGGAGAGAGAAAGGGAGCCGAGAAAATTAAAATAAATAAAAAAGTCTAGTTGCATAGTTTTATTCACGACAGGCGTTGCAATTTCGCGGAGCTGCAGAGCTCAACTGAAAAAGACTTTGAAACAAATTTAAATTACTTTCATTTACGCGTTTCATCAAAGCCGACGGGAGCGGAGGAAAAAAGCTCAGTGTGTGCGGGAGTGAAAGGAGTGGAATTAAAACACTAGAAAGAAAAAGAGGGGCGAGGGTGGAGGCGTCGTATTTAAATGGAATACTTGAAAAAAATTCTTTAATCTTACCTGAACACGACGGCGGGCGGGTCGGCCTCGACGTTGCAAGTCAAGCCGACTTTCTCCTGCTTCAGGGCCCCGACCAGCTCGTCATGGCTCTGTCGGCAGATCGGCGAGTCTGCAAAAAATGAAAAAGTTAAAAAAAATTACAGTTTGTTTTAACTTCTCTTCCTCGATAAAATAAAAGAGAGTATCTGCCCCTGCTCCTATTAATAGGTGCGAATTTGATGCCGCTCACATTTTGCTTGCACTGGAAAAAGAAACACATTGGATTCCAACGTGTATCCACGGCTCCGAACCCTGATATTCTCCTATCACTTGTCGTCAAGTCAGGGTTGCCACTTTCTTACCACTTGTAGGTTGCCTGCACTGGAAAAAAAACACATTGAATCTAGAATCCAGACTCTTGAAAACATTGACAAGAAAAAGCACTCTTGATCCAATCAGATTTAAGCTTAAATCGAAAGGAAATCCGCTTAAATTAAGAGGCTGGGTTCTTGATTTAAGCTTAAATCTGATTGAATCAAGAGTATTATTTCTTGTCGATGTTTTTAGGAGTCTGGTCTCTAGATCCAATGTGTTTTTTTCCAGTGTGGTTGTTGAAGAAAGTCAGCAGGCTGATATTTGAGATTGATAGCCAAAGAGATAACCAAAGATATGGACGAAGCCATAGACAAAGTAAAATGATTGAAAAAAATAATCGAGCTACAAGCCAAAAATAAACTAAACAAATAATATGTCAAACTACATAGTACATAGAGATGAGAAATAATAGAAAACTTACGGGAAACAAAACAAAACAAAAGTTTCGACCGTAGTTCTATGTAGTTTGAAATATTATTTGTTTAATTTATTTTTGGCTAGTATTTCGATTATTTTTTCAGTCGTTTTACCATGCTCTATGAAAGCCAGCCAAATTGGCTTTAAAATGCTATAGACAAAGCTATAGATACAGCTATAGAGTTTTTCTTAGCACGGCAGTTCTTTTTTTTTTTTGTTTAAAAAAAAAGCACGGCAACACTAGTACGTCTGTCATTATTTCCTTAAATTTCGTGTACCCCTTCTTTCTCTTAAAGCTTAAAGCTTAAAATTGAGGCTACATCGGTGTGCACTTCGAGCAAGCGAACACAGATACGAGCTAATTCACCGCACAGTATCAAACAACCCCGTTAACACACGACATTTCTCCAGTCACACATGTAAATTATCCTGAATTCAGGTCAAAATATATTTCAACCCTCCTTCTGTTCGTGTCTGACTGAATAACCACCCCCGTCCCCATTCATCAGAAACTCTGGTGACACTCGGATCCTATCCTAACCCACCCATCAGATACCTTAATTGGAAAGATATCAGGACTGAAGATTGCCAGCTTTCAGTGTAAATTACCGTTCACTTTTGAGCGTCGCGACCCCCTTCCATTCCTTTTTCGCTTTGACAGCGCTGCAAGTTGCATGCGACAAGGAGCGAGCTCAAAGAAACGTGACACCAAATTGCACCGGTGCATACATTCATTTATTAATCATAACAGGTGTCAGGTCGTCCCAGAGTAATGCGTCCTTTTTACTTTCTCCGAATGAATTGATAACATTCCATATTTGGCAACATTGGGGCTCAAAACTTTGAGTGCAGTTGTGGAAGTTGCGTACGCCAGATATATTAAGAGCTCATGAGCTGTCACGAATCTCATCGATCGATCAAATGTTGCAACAATATTGTGACTTATATCTGCTTCAGATCGAAGAAAAAAACTTATAACACAAAATATTCAAAGGACAGCATAATCACTTTCATGTTTCAGGAGAAGAGACCTGACAATTTGTCCGCGAAGGCAGCACTTTGAGTAGAGGGGCTGTTTTCGTGGTGGGTGGTAAAATTGAAAGGTCATGTTTGCGTCAATACAGGGCATTAAATTGCATTAAAACCAGCGATTTTGTACCCTGGACGTGGTAAAGTATAATTATTTTACATAGTTATTTAATCTTTGGACTATAGCTTTTGAACTGCATCAAACCTCCAATTACCAAACGGCGGTTTGGTTTGATGTCTATTGATGTTATAGAATACTGTTAGTAAAAAAACTTATACGTGTTCTGCGGGCTTTTTGAAATTGATAAACAAAGCTATCGACAAAGTAGACTTAAGGAATATTGAGCGATTCTATTGGTTGAAATGTTTGGTTCCTATAGACCTAAGAAGAAAATAATGGACTAACTATACAGGGTCTCTCGTAGGTTGCCGTTTAATAGTCTATTACTTATCTTCTATGGCCACTGGAACCACATGCTTCCACAAATAGGATCCCTTCATATCCCTTTTGTCCTCTTTATTGATCAATTTAATCAATCAACCCGCTAGGGAAAGGACGCGCGTTGTTCACGGCGTAGAGATACAACTATTCGTGCTTGATGGATGTCCTTGTTGCATCTGCAAAATTGAAGGCGCGATGGCGCTTGGTGTCAACTCGCAATGCTCCGCTTTATGCTGCCAATATGGTGAACGATAAGCGGTATCAATATGACATAATCTTCGCCAGATCTTTTTTTGCACAGTTTTAACCTATCAAATATGAGTCTTGAAGAGTCTCAAGCACTAAATATACAACGTACAATCAACATTTACCAGGAAACTAAAATTGCAAAAATTCTAAATCAAGATCTCTCACGATCCAATTCAGTTAGGTATCAAAATAAGTCAATTTCAGATTTCGTGGTCGAGGAGCCTTTTTAGGTCGTTTAGGGTCCGGTCACATATGGAACGAATTGGGCTCATTTCAACTTTCGTACCTGCTGTTTATTCCCTTAGATTGATGTTTTGCACCCATACACTACAATCCTTTCTGCTAGGCTCGATATCATAACTATATCTACAAGAAGGGAAACAAGCTCCCGCGTGCAATCGAAGACTTTCACGTACTAAGATGCTCATTGGATACAGGAAGTTTTGAAATATATACAAAAACTGGGCTCCTCTCTGATGATTATAATCCAGTTTGAGTATAATCCAATGTGGCAACGTTGCGATAAAAAGTCAAGAAACAATTGTTCCTTGGTTTAATCGGCCGATGTCCTTCGGTTTCGCTGTTTTAGCCGAATTGAAAGCCGATGCGAGGTAATGCGGTTAAAGCATTCCTGCGACACAAAAAGAGAAAAACGACAGAAGACAAGCGACATGGGGAGACGCGAAAAAGTGTTTTTTCTTCCTTTTTCCCGGCGGAACAGAGACCCCCCCCCTCTATCACCCCCTCCCCATAATGCAATCCAAGAGCCGCACAGTGGAACTAGACACTGGGAGAGGTCGAACTTAAAATGGACTTTTTGCAGTGTGGATTAATATTTCCGACTTGATTTAGAGACAACATATCGAGGACTAAGGAAGGATACCGCCTAAGTGACATTTTTGGCGAAAATGCGAAAATGAATCAGCGACTTTGCCTCATTCTACAGTATAAAATACCCAAGTTGATGTTTTTAGTTTTTCCAACTCTGCTGTAGTGACACTGTAATGTGTGAAAAAATTGCTAATCCAGCCTCAAAATTTAAAATCCTCGCTTCGAAAAGCGCCTTCAAACAGTCGTATAGGCAATTTCACGACTTGGGTGCGCGAATAGTTGCTCGGCCTGGTTGAACCTAATAGTCTGCAGTAAATATATCACATTCGAATATCCATTCCATCGGGTGAGGAGTGAACCACGCTTCGCAAACCGCCTTCGAACAGTCGTATAGGCAATTTCACGACCTGGGTGTGCGAATAGTTGCTTGACCTAGTTAAACCTAACAGTGTGCAGTAAATATATCACATTTGAATGTTCATTCCACCGGGTGAGGAGTGAACCACGCTTCGCAGAGCGCCTTTAAACAGTCGTATAGGCAATTTCAAGACCTGGGTGTGCGAATAGTTGCTTGACTTAGTTACACCGATCATTCATCTATTAAATCGTTCTCAAATGGCAAAATATCAATTTCGGAGAAGATTTAAACTCTTAAAGTTTTTTATTCGTGTCCAAGGTCTCCCAACGGTTCGTTTCACTGTACGGCGAGGAAGCAGAGAGCAGCTCACAGAATCGGAAAATGAATAAGAAGACAGAGAACGGAGAGGGACTTACGCAATATCCTCAGATGAATAGAATTACTCTTGGCCGCTCCTTCAGTATTGACCGCCAAGCAAGTGAAATGGCCGGCAGTACTTTGTGTTACTTGCTGCAGCACCAGACTCCCGGAGCTCACAACAATACCCGCGCTGGCATTGTGTTTCACTTCGTTCCCCTGCAAAACAGTTTAAAATCATCGTTAAAGCTCTAATGGCCCAGCCAGCCAGCCTTAAAGTTAAACCACGTATGGTCCTTGCGACGTTGCCAAATTTATTTGGATGAACACCGCATTTTCTTGACTATGAGCTTGTTCGCTTGTTCATGTTCAGTAACTTCCAATTCTCGCATTTTGGAAAAGTATAGAGAGGGCACTTAGCTCACAAGAATTTTCTCGGATTCTGTTTGAAAAACATAAATTTAACCCCACAAGAAATGAGTTTAAAGTTGGGTATTGAATTTCTCATTTATACGCGCATTGCCGAAGACGCCAAGACGGCGTCCGAAAAAACCCCTCTCATCACGACCACGATCACAATTGGAAGTATTTTTATCAAACGGAACTATGTGCATTATGACGTGAGCCCTGTAATGTGTGTATTCTTATGGGTCTGGGGGCTCATGCCTTAATGCAAATAGCTCCGTTTGATAGAAATACGTCCAAATGTAGGTTCGTAGTGCTGTAATCCATTGCAGCCTTTACTAAAGCGCGGCTGCATAGACTACAAATCGTGGTAGAGGCGTTCAACATCAAACGTCAAACGCTCAATATCGTTACCGTGACGAGCGGGATATTTTTGGACGCCATGTTGGCGTTCTCGACGGAGAACGTTTTGATAGGAGCTAAAATACACAACTTTCAACTCGCTTGTCGTAGGTTAATACCGTCCATAAAAATCCGAAAAATTCATATGAACTAAATGCACTTTCTACTTTCTTATAATGCAAGGTAAAAATTAATAAGTGAGCTCAATGCATATCAACGTTGACACTACCAGACCACGTATCTCTGTTTGCGACGTTACAGACTCCCTGTCTTGCTTTATTTTTGTCAATGAAAAACTACTCAATGTCAATTCTTGAAAATTTCCGTGGTTTTTCTTCACTGTGCGAAGAAAATTCTGTGAAAACTTCAAGGAATGATATTGATTTTTCCTCGTTATAAACATAAAACAGAAGCGGAGATTTTTAAACACAGCAAACGAGATACGCGGTCTGGTAGTTTCACCGTCAACATGAAACACCACGAAATTTTTCTGAGAAAAGAAAATATCCATTCCTATACCAGAAATTAAACCTTTTTCACAATAATTTCGGCAACCTCCCCACGTCTATACGCTGTTTTTCCCCAGCCCGGTAGCAAAGCCGCCGACTTACACAACCATGTTGCAGCATAAAGCGCATATCTACATGACGTTCCTGTTGAAGTTACGTTGTTTTTGCTTAGCGCGGCGGTCTGGTCGAGCCGCCTTGTTCCTTTGGTTTCATTCTCCGGCGTACAATGGACCCCAACCACTAATCTTCGACGTGAGGATTAATCATTACGCTCTCCGGAAAAATGCCTGCCTTTGTTTCGGCCTCATCATTCACACTTGGGCCTATACATACGTGTGAAGGTTCTGGCATGTTAGATCAGGCGTCGATGGTGTTTCCTCCGGGTGAAAAATCATCGTTCGAGGGTGAGGAGTAAGGCTCAATGTAAAGCCTGTCATCAGAGGTATTTAACTTGATGGTTCAAGGGTAAAATGAATGTTATTGGTGTGGATTTAAAATTAAGATTTTACCATCCTCGCTTTTTCAAAGAGAGCAGAAATTCCATTTTAACGAGCTATTGTGAGCCTTAATGTGTTAAAAATTGTAATTTGTATACATCAGCTTTTAAGTCTCAAAGCAATGTCAATATCAATATCGAAACAATACCAACTAACTTGCGATCAAAAAATCTGTGGTTTAATGTGAGCCTACCATAGAGGCATTTTACTTGATCGTTCAAGGGTAAAATGGATGTTATTGGTGTAGATTTAAAATTAAGATTTTGCCGTCCTCCCATTTTCAAAGAGAGCAGGAATTCCATTTTGACAAGCTATTGTGGGCCTTAATGTGTTAAAAATTGTAATTTGTATACATCAGCTTTTAGGTCTTCAAACAATATCAAAATAGCTACCTACCAACTTTTTGATCGATACCACAAAAGAGGAAGAAATCACGGGTATGATCACTCAAAAAGCCTGCTCTTTTGGATTCACGACACAAGTATGTCCTCAATGTGCTTGTTCCTCACATGAAAATACCTACGTACGAAGATGCTTTATGCGTGGTTTTTACACAATTTGGTATAAGGAGAAGTTATAGCTGGACCAGCATCCTCTTTGATATATAGCCTTCAATCTAGTTTATTTGTAATCAGTTTGTTTACTTTTATTTTATTTTATTTCATCTTTTCATTTTTATAAATTATTTTTTATTTATTTCTTCTCTCTTGCTAGTCAGTCATGCACTGAAATAAGTTTATATTTTATAGTTGTTTATGTTTTGTTATTTTCTCAGTCCGCCGAAGATGGTGTGAATTTAACCTGAAATTCATACATAATCAATGTAATAAAACAGTTAAACCGTGGTCCGGCTATACCTTTTCCTTGCTAAAAATATCTGTTGGCGTGGTTTCCTTCAACTGCGTGAGATTAATATTTCATTCAATGATTCAGAATAACGCCAAACAAATTGAGCTTTTATTTTTAAGCTTTACGTTGATACGTATTTTTAAAAGAATGCTTGCTATTTTGGACTCACGGATCGAGTACATCCTCAAAAAATTGTATAATTATGAAAATTGAATAAAATGGTGTAAATAAATCGTTACCCCTTCTTCTTAATGACCAGAATTGCCATGTTAGTATGAAGTAAAATTAAGAAGAAACTTACCTTGTGAAACCAAGTCAGTTTGTGGATTTTAGGATTGGCCTGAACGAGACATTCAAAATAAACGTCATCTCCTTCTTTGATGTTGTTTGGATCCAGGCCAGTGCCCATTTTCAAAGTGACTACTGGACTGTCTGTAACATAAAACAAATAGGTCCATCGTTAGAAACGCAGAAATCAGTATTTCTCATGATGTATAAATGATTCTAATACTGAAAAATGAAAAGAAAAAATTAAAAAATCGCGAGGTTTATAGTATCTAGTTCACTTTTTTGTGAAAAGAAAAAGTCAGAGAAATACCTGAAAGCAAATTATCCTCGTGAGGTCATTTTGCATGATCGTTATGTAAAATAAATAAAATCGTTAAAAATCCATACAATGAGGAGACGCGTTGAGGAGAGTTTCGAATTAATGGTTAGAAATGACATTTTGGGATATCGGCCGGAGAAAAGTTGTACAATTCTCCAAATTAAATTTTTGAAGCACTCGGAACGCTACACGGACCATTGATTCATCCCATTGCGAACTGTTTTTTGGTACATCTTTGTATCATTTTTTTTCCGATCCAAAAGCATTGTGGTGTTGGCGCATGGCGCATCTTATCTCTTGGCGCTGGACATTTAGGCTAAACTTTCCGCCAAGAATGAAAATATGTAGTGCGGTATAATTTATTTTATTTTGCGTTTATGTTTTAGTTTATGCTGATAAGTTTTTCGAGAATTCCCCCCAAAAAGACCACACTATACAATTCTTTACTGGTAACAATATTAATTGCAGATCTGAAATGTTTCTCAACGTGTATTATACGGTTGTATTCAATTTTCCTTCAGCTGCGTACGCAGCAATTGTTGTTACGAATATGTTGTGCGTGCTCATTTCAGCCCATTACATACTCGACTCTTTGAAGGCGTTTTCTCTACTTCGTTCGTTCTCCAACAGACTGCGCTACTTGCGCGTATAAAACGCCTTCAAAGAGTCGAGTATGTAATGGTCTGAAATGAGCACGCACAACATATTCGTAACAACAATTGCTGCAGATGCAGTTGAAGGCGAATTCTTTCGCACTTAAATCGCCTTCAGAGAGTAAAGTATGTCATGAGCTGAAATGAGCACGCACAACATATTTGTAAACAATGGGTACAGACGCAGCTGAAGGCGAAAAAAAAGAGTATGATAGGTAGTCCGTATGTAACAAGAGGGCATGTAACCGATGAACATGAATCGAACGAAAAATAAAAAATGTGAACCGATCAACACCAATTCAACAGACAAATAAGCAAAATAGCGAATCCAAATCAGTATAAAACTTGCATATACTAAATAAATTTCAAATTGCGATAACTCAAAATTAGGATTAATCAAGATTTTGATTTTCCCCGAGTTTTATTTCTCAATAAGAAAATCAAGCAAGATACTGGCTTAAACTCTCTGTTAAATTACTCTAGATCATAAAAAATTAGTTCAAACCATTTTTTAGTAAAAACTTAATCCGCTCTCTCTTGAAAAAATGAATCCTAAAATAAAATTAGGCAGGGAAAATTTAGTTAGGCTGATTTTGGTTGAATAGGCTGAAAGTGGTATTCTTGTGGATTAATTTTTCTGAGCTGCAAAATTTAGAGCAGGTCGATTGAAACAGTGCTTTCTATTTTTCTCGTCTAGCGCTTGAGCTTTTTTCAGAAAAACCGATTTAAATTTTTGCAATGTTACACTTAGGTTCATTGCAAAATGATCAGAGTTTAAATCGAGAATGATTATCTTCATATGCCATTTGTGCACTAGAACATCATTATGTTCATATGAACGAGCCCACGTTACAGCGCAGCGTCACCATGAGTGTGAATGAGAACCAGGCCCTGCGCGCCTTCAATTTTACGAGTATACTACACGGACGTCCGTAGAACACGAATAGTTGTATCCAAGCGCCGTTACCGATTTGGCGTTGTTTAGTACCAAGAGCATTGATTTTCCTGTATGTTGATGGATATCGCGATGTTGAAATCACCAAATCACGTATCTTGGTTTGCATAATTGCAGATTTTTGGGTAGCGTGTTTATTTTTTTAGTTTTTATCTAATCACCTTAATTAGATACGATTTTGTATGACTTTTAATCGCTCTTTGGAAAATGTTCTCTGAAAATTTTGTGCACAAATGTGCATCGATAGTTTCTTAAAAAACATTAAAATGGAGCAAACATTTTGAAACTCCGCGATGGAAATTCGGGTTTTGCAATTTTAGCATTGATATAACATTGATATGGCATTGATTTAGCAAGAAATGTCTGCGAAAACTTCAAGGAAGGGAATTGATTTGTTCTCTGTCAAAGAAATAAAATAGGAGTGGAGATTTTTAAACACCAAAAATGAGATACGCGGTCTGGTAGTTTCACTGTCGACATGCACCCTCTTCAAAATTTCACTTATAATACCGTTTTTTCCCTCTTTCTTTTCTTTTTTTGAGCAGAAAGTTTGTACGTGCGAATCAAGAAACGTTAGTATCTATGTTAAGAGTTACTTTCAGTGATTTTCGATACACTCGTACATACCGATGGTGAAAGTGCAAAAGTGCATATCTCGGAAAACACGATTTCCCAGGAGAGTAGAAAATCTGTCTAAATTCCTGTTTATTGTTAGTAGAAGGGTAATAATTCTTGAGGATAGCAAGAGTAAGATGTTTTTTCAAACTCCAATTTCAATTATTTCTCAAACTGTTAGAAAATACGGCAGAAATGCCGAGATTCGCGTTTTTGGCAGTAAGGATCGACACTTCATCAGGAGATACACATTTTTGCAATTAGTGTTTTAAACTTGTTGCTGGATTTGGATCATTTAAAGACTGAACAAAGGGTTTCACACTTAAAATTCCGTATCAGATAAGATTTAGTTGGTCATCGATGCTCCATCCATCCATGGTTTCCTAATGGACCAGTACAAAAAGTACCATTTCTTCAATTTTGATTATTCACAGTTAATCAAAGAAAGCTCTCATTTTATCCGTGCGAAACTTTTTAAATACACAACCGTTTTTGAGTAAGTTGCGATCTTCTAAACGGCGACTATTTCAGTTTTGCTTCAGAACACGATGCCGAACCGAGGGACTTATAATACAAAATCCGATCCAGCCGCCTGCGCTCTCTTCTTTGAAATAAGACGTAGAGACCAAAAACAATCTAATTATTTTTTCAAAATAATATTCCTCGGCATTTTTAGAATATGCGGCTCGATTTAAAACCCAAAATTATAAACTTTTTGGTCAACACCGTTGAACAAGACCACTCACAATGGATGCAGATGAGCGCCTTCAAATCAATCCATAAACTTAATGCAAAATTCTGATACAACTATTCGTGCGTCACGGCAGTCATTTTGCATACCTGGCCATTTGAAGGCGAATCATAGACTTCAGGCAACGGGGTACGAATTACAGCAATGTCTTACGATATTCATAGGGAGAAAAAACATAAACAAGAAAAAATAATTCTTGGCGATAGCATGAAAAAGATGTTTCTTCCGACTCCATCAGCATTTTGAATAATTTCTCGAGCTGTTAGAAAAGACGGCAAAAATTTCGAGATTTGCGTCTTCGGAACTAAGAATTGACACCTCATCAGGAGATACGCATTTTGGCAATTAGTGTTTTAAACCTGTTGTCGGCGGATTTGGATCATTTAAAGACTGAAAAAAGAGTTTCACGCTTACAATTCCTTATCAGATAAGCTTAAGTTTGATCTCATATGGCCAGATTAAGCATTGTATGATTGGAAAATGACATTTGATCACGAGATACCGATTTCTGCAAATAGTAGTGTTTCGAACCTGCTTTTGATCATTAAGATTAGAAAGAGAGTTTATTTATACTTAAAACTTTGTTTAGAAGCTTTAGTTGATCCAATACCGTGAGTCAGAGTCATCAATAAGTAGTGAATCAGAGAATTGGCTTCCATGAGTAACTTTTACTCCATGGGTAGGTAAAATGACAGTGCGGAGTCTCTAGAATACATCGTCTCTGCATGGACCCTTAAAATATTATATAGGCAATACTTTTTTTCTATTTTTCCTTCAACACGATGGCAAATATACCGTTAGAAATCTACAGCCATCTGTATGTATCCGTTTATATAGTGACCGTAGAAACCCGGAGGACATATCCATGCTCCATCCATCCACGCTCTATGACTTTCAATTGGACCAGTGGACGAAATGCCTTTTCTTTAATTCTGATTATTCACAGTTTATCATCGAAAGCTCATTACTCAGTACGAAACTTATTGAATTCACAACCACTTTTGAGTAAGCTGCAATCTTGTAAACGGCGACTCTCAGAATTGCATGAGAATAGGATGACCAAAACAAGAGGACATAAAAACCACAATCTGAACGAACCGTTTGGGCTCTCTTTTTTTGAAATAAGACACGCAGACAAATAAAATTTTATCATTTAATAATCAAAATAATACGCGCCGGGCATTTTTTTAAATTACGGCTCTATCGAAGCCTCCAAAATTATGAACATTTTTGGTCAATATCATTGCACAGGACCACTCACATAGGATACAGAAGAGCGCCTTCAATCAACTTCGTAATCTTAGTGCAAAATTCTAATACCACTATTCGTGCGTCACGACAGTCATTTTGCATAGCCGTCTAATTGAAGGCAAATTATTGGCCCGAGCATGCGGGTACGAATTTCAGCAATGTGATACGTAATTTATACGGAGCAAAACCTCCGGGGGTACCTCCCTTGGCATCCAAGGAGCCAAACCCACCTGGGGCTGCCCCACCCAACATCCAAGCAACCCAACCCTCGGGATACCCCTTCTGGCATCGGAGAAATCCAACCCCCAGGGGCTCCCACTTCTAGTATCCGAGAAGTCCAACCCCCAGAGGACTGCACGTTCACAAATCGAGATACGCACTTCTACACTTTCGCCATCGATATAGTGTTTCACGTGTAAATGTGATGAGAAAACAAACCTGTATCATACATGCTCAAACCAGCCAATTGTCTAGTGATTGGTGAATATTATACCAATTTCCACCAACATTTCCGTAAAAATATTGTCTGTGATGTTACCTATATGATTGTGTGACTTTCCATGTCCGTGCATTTTCCCACAAAATTCAGCTTATTTAGCC